TGTGTGTGTGTGTGTGTGTGTGTGTGTGTGTGTGTTTGTGTGTGCTTGCGTGTGTGCGTGCATCTGTATGTGTGCGTGTATGGGGGGAGCGGTTGGAACGATATGGGAAACTGGGAGAATCAGTATCTCGATCAGGCAGCCATGGTGCTTTCAGTGCAGACACTGTCCCAGATACAGAGCAACAGCCATCCGCTGTCTACATGCGCGCCCTTGCGTGTATGTGTGGGCGCGTGTTTGTGTGCATATGTATCTGTAGTCGTATGTGCGTCGGTGTGTGCGTGGATGTGTGCGTGCGTGCGTATGGGCGTGCGTGTATGCGTACGTGCGTACGTGAGTGAGGGATTATGCTATTGCCGTGTGTTGCTGTTTAGTCAATAGTTTCAGAATCATCGGAGTATTAGTAAGAATTCGTTATATATGACATATGATTTGCCATTGGCGTATGATGATTTTTTAGACCTGCTGCTCTGTGTTGTGTTTGGTCTCTGATATATATAATTATAAAATTATAATCCAGTTCAAATATTGGCGAGGTAATTTTGGTTAATAATTGGTTGTTTTTACGTTTTAGGTTCCTGGATATTCGCGCTAATGAAAAATACATTGACCAGCTTCTGCTATATTTAGCTAGGAATACCCACTGAATAAGATTTAGTCTAAAGGGAACTCAAATACCCTTAATAAAATTACGCTGATTAACGGAGTGATTTAAAGCGCTCCAGAAATGGCGTGCGTGAGTGCGTGCGTGCGTGCGTGCGTGCGTGCGTGCGTGCGGGCATGAGTGCGCGACTGAGCGAGTGCGCGCGCTCCTGAGAATGTCTGTGTGTAGCTGTAACACGAAGATGCGGAGTTTATATATAACTATTTTCATAATAAATCCGGCGCGGCCCGACCAATTGGTTAGCTGAGCCGACGACACTCCCCCCGGGGCCATGCGGCGTGACGGCGCGCATACATAACTCCCAGCGCATTCTCAGCAGCCGCAGTGCAGTAACGATCGCTTCCTTGTTGTGACATACTGGCTTCACTCTAACTCCCGAGGGCAGCCAATGTACGCGCGCATCTCTCCTATACCGGCACAGAGACGCATACATAGAGACGCATAAAGACACAGACACAAGTAGAGACGCATAGAGACGCATAGAGAGACAGACACAAATAGAGGCGCATAAAGACGCATAGAGACGCATAGAGACGCATAGAGGCGCATAGAGACGCATAGAGACGCATTGAGACATTATAGAGACACGTAATAATACATAGAGACGCATAGAGCCATACCGAAACACCCCGCGACACACAGAGACACGTAGAGGCGCATAGAGATGCATAAAGGCACACGGAGACACACAGAGGCGCATAGAGACACATAGAGACAGGTTGGCCACACAAAGACGCATAGAGTCCCATAGATCCGCATAGAGACACATAGAGACACACATAGACACATAGAGACACACATAGACACATAGAGACACACACATAAACACATAGAGACGCACACATAGACACATAGAGACGCACACATAGACACATAGAGACGCACACATAGACACATAGAGACGCACACATAGACACATAGAGACGCACAGAGACGCGATGCGTTTCTCACGTAACGACCGCGTTTAGAAATGCCTCGGCAGTGCCTCACCACGCGCGCGCGCGTACTTAAGCGCCAGTGTTTCGGTTCGCAACGGCCGCTCGCGTCTCGGTGCATGTGAGCCGGACCACACCAGTCGCGGCGCGCGGAGTGAATCACGCGTGCATGCATGCAATTCGGCATAGACTCGCACGGCTAGCGTGCAGAAGTCGCCGCCCTGATGCATGCCTGATTTCGTTACAACAACGCTGCCCATGCCCGCCCCGCGCTGCTCCGTCAATTAGACTGCAGCAGCAGCGGCCGGCAGACGGCGCGGCGGCGGCGGCGAGCGGCGCGGCAAGCCAGCAGCGAGTGCGCGCGCACAGAGAAACAGATATTGCGTATGAGAAGCCCACGCCGGCGGGGGATGCTTGAGTCGGCGCGATCGTATTGATTCGCTCTGCCCCTCAACCGCATTTACAGCTATTCAGAGCGTAGAGAGAAAAGAACGCGGCGCGAGTGAAGAGCGTGTAGTCTGCCCGTGCATCGTAGGGGTGGACAGCCGTGTTAGCAGCAAGGCGAGTTCGTCGGTGTCCGACACCGGTTAGCAGCAGCGCAGTCGTGGTGTACGGCACACCGGTGTCAGTAGCAGCAGTCCGTTGGTTAGAACCGAGACCTGTAGCAGCAGTCGGGTGAGGGACACCGATGTAGCAACACGTCGTGGTGTTAGACAACCGGTCTTTGTAGCAGCCAGCAGTCGTCGGGTAGTGACATCCCGGATGTAGCAGCAGTCGTGGCTGTGCGTCACCGTGTAGCAGCAGCAGTCGGGGTGTGCGTCACCGGTTGTAGAGCAGTCGTGGGTGGGACACGGGTGTACGCAGCGCCAGTCGTGCTTGGTGCGGTCAACCGGTGTAGCAGCAGCGTCGTGGTGGTGGACACCGGATTTGTAGTAGCAGCAGTCGTGGTGTGACGACACCGGTGTAGCCCAGCAGCAGTCGTGGACACCGGCCGGTGTAGCAGCAGCAGTCGTGTGTGGACACCGGCGTAGCAACAGCAGTCGTGGTGTGGACAACCCGGTGTAGCAGCAGCATCGTGGTCGATGGACACACGCTGTTAGCAGCAGTGCAGGTCGTGGTGTGGACAACCCCCGGATGGTAGCAGCAAGCAGTCGTGGACACCGGCTGTAGCAAAGCAGCAGTCGTGGACACCGGATGTACTGTTAGCAGCAGCAGTCGTGTGTGGGACACCGGATGTACAGCGCAGGCTCGGTGTGGGACACCGGTTAGCAGCGAGTCGGTGGGTGTGGACACCGGTGGTAGCAGCAGCCAGTCGATTGTGTGCGACACCGGTGTAGCGCTAGCAGCGAGTCGTCGGTGTGGACACCGGCCTGTATTGTAAACAGCAGCAGCCTGGTGCTGGACACCCGCGGCTGTAGCGCAGCAGTCGGACACCGGTTTGTTAGCAGCAGCCAATCGTGGTGTGGACACCTCGGTGTAACAGCAGCAGGGTGTGGGTGGACACCGGTGTAGCAGCGGAGGTCGGTGGTGTGGACACGGCCGGCTTGTTTTGTAGCAGGCATCAGTTCGTGGGTCCTGTGGACACCGGGTGTAGCAGCAGCAGTCGTGGTTGGTGGACACCGGTGTAGCAGCAGCAGTCGTGGTGCTGGACAACCGGATTGTTATAGCGCAGGCAGTGCGTGGTGTGGACACGCGGCGTGTAGCAGCAGCAGTCGTGGTGTGGACACCGGTATAGCAGCAGCAGTCGTGGTGTGGACACCGGTGTAACACGGCTATCACTCGTGCTGTGAGGATGCCGCGCCATCAGCCGCTCCACGTCACCACGTTCGCACGGCGCACGGGCATCCGCTACACCGGTTCCCTGCTTGTCGGCATCATCCTCATCCTCGTTCTCCTCAGCGTCCTGCTGACGTCGCGGCGCGGCGGCGCGTTGCCGTGGCGACGCGATCTTCTGCAGGTCGACAACATCATCAACGACGGCGTCTACAACTACGAGCTCGGCATACACGTCAGCGGCGCCTACCTGCGTCGCAACGCCACCATCGGCAACGTCGACTCGGCACGAGAGCTGTCGCGCTTCCTACGCAAGGTGCGCGACGTCGGCGCGCGGCACGGCATCGTCGCGCTCACCGTCGCCAACAACGCCAACGCGCCGTTCGTCGGCAACTGGCTGTGCGGCGCCGCGCTGCGCATGCCCGACGCGATGGCGCGCGTTGTCGTCGTCGTCACCGACCAGCCGACGTACCGACGCATGCTCGCCGACTGGCCGAGCGTGCACACGGCGTTGTTTCGCACTGACGCGGCGCTGCAGTACAACCTGGATCGCAGCGGCGAGCAGCGCTACAAGTTCCTGCTGCGGCGAATCGAGATGCTGCTGTCGGCGCTGCAGTGTAACGTCGACATCCTCGTCTTCGACGCCAACACGCTCTGGCTGAAATCGCCTTTCGCGCTGCTCTCTAGCTCGGCGTACGCGAACAGCGACATCGTCGCCTCGCCGACGTCGCGTCCGCACGAGCCGGTCGCCGACGGCTTCATGCTGCTGCGAGCGACGACGCGACTGCTAGACGCCTGGCGGACGATCACCGCCAACCTACAGGCTCTGCAGTTCCACAACAGCAGTCAGGTGGCGTGGGCAGCGTATCCGGCGAGTGAGCTCGCTTACCTCGCGCAGCTGATCGCGCGCGGAAGTGACGTGACGGCGCCGCTGAGCGTCGCCATCTTGCCGTGGGACCTCTTCCCGGACGGCACGTGGTATCTGAAGTCGCAAAGCGAGCGGGACTACAGCGGCGCATGCGTCGTCGTCAACAACTGGAACGTCGGCGTGAAGATGAAGATCGACCGCGTGAGGGCGCTCGGCTACTGGTACATGCAGCGAGAAGGACAGCGGTCAACGTGCCCCTACGTCAAATGAGGCGTAACCGCGCGAGGCGCCACCTATTGGTGCTATTAAAAGACACGCTTGCTAGCAATTTAATTATAGCGTCCCCGGTGTTTTCTCCGAAAGTTTCACGATGCGTGTGCATCGAAAGCCACAATTTCGACGTATATTTGAATAAATTATCCCGGCTTGACAAGTCGTTCCAGCCGGAGTGAGGATTAGGTGCTCGTTTACCACAACGCACGCTTGCATACTGCAAGCATATATTGCATATGACCGAAACTTCTAAGAGTCTTCAAAGCGCGATTTTAGACCAAGATGAGTTGGGTGTATAGCATGTGATTTCTAGTACATATGTGATAAGAACGAGCGTCGGAGAGTCGATGAGTGCTATTGGCGCGCTCACTCTTTTTTTTATTATTCCGCGTTATCATAAAGAAGGAAAGTACGCATGCAAAGCAAATGCACGTACAGAGGGAGGAAAAAACTGTAACACGGGTTACACTCGTGCTGCGTGACCGCTTGGCCCTTATCAGCATTGACAGAGCACGTGCACCGATATTAGCAGGAAACGCGCCCGCGTTCGAAGGCCTTTTGACGATGATATTGCTAAGGCCCCGTATTTGCGATACACGCAACGCATATATATATATATATATATATACCTTATTTAATATATATATATATAGAGTATGCGAACGCCGCACATGCCCTCATAGTTCTAGTCATAATTTGCTGTGCTTATCTGAAATATTACGCAATATGGAAAAGTAATCCCATATGGATGCCTAGCGACATACAGATGTATGATCGCCACATCGAATAGATAGCAGAATAGTGTTGGATGCTTACTAGATGCCTGAGATGCAATGGCTTGTTTTGCGATAAAAGCAGCGTGAGTTGACTGCTCAAATACTCAACGACGTGCTATACACGGGCCTGGTTGACGTTTTTAAATAATCTTACGGCGTAATATCGAGGTGTATATTATAGGCATTATATGCATTACTATTTCAGAGGTTTTTCTTTAAGCACGTGATGTGCATATAATATATAATATAATTGCATGTCTGAGCTGTTTGTTATCATGGCCAAACGTGGTTGGTTGTTTTCGATGAGTCGGCGCATCAGCTTCTGGATTGTTTAGTATCGCTTTAGTAGAATATACGATTCTGTGTTTTTTACGATCATTTTGTTATTGAAACGGTTCACAAGTAGCCTGTGCACCGAGCCGACACTGGAAGATGGCGTTGACACGCAGTTCACATCTAAGTTACAGTATCGCATTCCAGCACACGTAGTTTACCCTTTACGATCGTTTGTCTTATCTGGGATATTCATTTCTTGAGGAAGGTGGGATTTTCTGGCCTGCGATTATTTCTTTTTATGCACTGCTTAGATGAGTGAGTCGTTGGCGAGTTTACGTCGCGAGTTTTAATTGTCATGTGTGTGTTTCTTGAGTGGGTTTTATTGCTTGTGGAACGGTGGCGTTACGCGAATTGCTCGCGCGTTGACCGCATTTCGCCAATTATAGCTCGTTAATAGTTGATGAATAGCTTAATATACATTGCGGTGGGCATGTGTATTACGTGCTTGGCCATCAAATTATAAAAAATGCCTATTGCTTGTTTACCATGAAAGCTCATGAAGCAGTGATTTATATATTTCTGGATTGGTGGCTGTATCGACAACGTGCCACGCCGCCCACGACGTAACGCACATGCACACATTACACGCACACACCACGACGCACACGACAACGCACACAGCACACACGGCGCGGCGCGCGCACGCACAACACACCACACACACACACACAACACACACACGCACGTCACGCGCACAGCGACGCACACGCACACGCACAGCGGACACGGCACACGGGACACGCACACGCAAACGCGACGCCGCGCACCACACACCGCCACACACACACACACACACACACACACACACACACGCACACACACGCACACACGTCGAACCCCTTTTACTAGTTAATTACCTCGTATAGGCAACAAAGTAGATTCTACAATAAAACGCGCAACTAGCGGCATGTACGTAGTTGTCGATGGAGGGTTGCCAAGTGTCGAAGTTGCAACAGCATGCGTACGTTTCACTACCACGGCACAAAGGACAGTTTGGTTCTGGGTGCATGGTTCTGTGAGTTTGGGGGCGATGTCTCGTTGGTCTAGTTTGGATTTCTCTTTACATGTGGTGACACATCGATCGCAGAAGACAAGCCTAAACCACGATGTCATTTGCTGCTTGGGAAACACGTATGTATTTTGGGTGAAAGGTAGTAGAATTGTCTTCCTCGTGGAGCCAAAATAATTCCGTCGCGTGTTATAAGAACATAAGCGTTTTAACGTCGTTGCGCTCATTATACTGCGAATGATAAAGTTATTCTAGTATATCATTACGCGGCGTTCTATATTGACTTCTTCATCAAAAAATATATATAAAAACTAGTCGGTTTAATATAATATGTTATGTAAACGAATGCCGGATAATCATAACAACGAATGCGATAATAACGAAGAATATAGGTGGCAGTCACCCAGATTTGGTGTGTTGCGATTCTCTAGAAAATGTTGACACTTCTTCCTGACAACCATGTCATTAGTCTATACTACTATGTAACCTTTATATAGCTCACTATCTTATCCGCTGTTATAGTCAACAGTTACATCGGAAGATAAAGACCAGTTGAAAATCAGATTGTCATTAACCTGTATGATACAGGCGGTATGTTTCGCTTCACTACACTATCTACCGTAGGTGAAGTGTAGTGAAGCGGAACCGGAACCGCCTGTATCATACAGGTTAGATTGTCATCTGTTGTCTTTACTGCTGCGTTGTCCCGCGTACACACATTGTGTAAACAAGTAGTTTACAACACTCAAGCTCCCTGCACCGAGCGCGAATGAACACACAGACACATACGCGTGCCCGCACGCACACTCACACACACGCACGCGCAGATGTTGTTTTTGTTTTTGTTGTCGTCGTCGTTGTTGTTGTTGTTGTTGTTGTTGTTGTTGTTGTTAGAGCGATGGCGGAAGAGCGGAAGCTATATTGTTTAGAATCGATTCATGGAAGTATTCAATGACATTGTAAGAACGGCTAAGCAGATGTTTGAGTATTTATTCACGTCTAACATTACGTGCGTGAGTGTATGGAGTCCTTATTTAGAGGGACTCCGAGTGAGACTAACAGTTGTATTCCATACGTAGCCCGCAGAGCATTTATTCATTACACGCGAAATACTTGTAAATGATACTGGTGAATGGGGAGCGAAGTGGTCGCTACCACAGTACAAAGGAGAGTGTGGCTCTGTGAATTAGGAGCGATGTCTCGTTGGTTTAGTTAGGATTTGCCGTTAGTATTGGTCACACGTCGTTCGCGGAAGACAAGCTTAAACATCGATGTCACTTGCTGCTAGGGAAACACGTACGTATTCTGGTTGAGAAGTAGTAGAATTGTATCTATCTGTAGAATGTAGAATCTTCTTCATGGCGCCACAAATATTTCGACTTTGATTCGACATATACCAGATACATACAGGCCCAGACGTACGCACGCACACGCACACACACGCGCACTGATGTTGACATGCCGTCGTAGTTGTATAGTAAACTACCAAGCGCATGGACTTGTGTGTATATTGAATATAGATATAGGGTCACGCCAACAGCAACTATAGAGCTATCGCATTATATATATATATATATATATATATATATAGGTTGCGAACGCCCCACATTGCCCTCATAGTTTCTAGTCATAATTTGCTGTGCTATCTGAAATATTAAACGCAATATGGAAGCTAATCCAATATGGATGCCTAAGGGACATACAGATGTATGATCGCCACATCGAATAGATAGCAGAATAGTGTTGGATGCTTACTAGATGCCTTGAGATGCAATGGCTGTTTGCGATAAAGCAGGTGAGTTTGACTGCTCAAATACTCAACCGACGTGCTATACACGCGCCCATGGTTACGTTTTTATAATATCTGAAGGCCGTAATATCGATTGTATATATCATAGCATTATATGCATTACCTATTGTCAGAGAGTTTTTCTTTAGCACGTATGCATATATATATATATATATGCATGTCTGAGCGTTGTTATCATGGCCAAAGTGGTTGGTGTTTTCGATGAGCGGGCATCACGTTCTATTGTTCTAGTATCGCTTTAGTAGTAAATACGATTTGTGTTTATTTACGATCATTTTGTTATTGAAACGGTCCAAGTGCCTGTGCACCGAGCCGCACAGGAAGATGGCGTTGACACGCAGTTCACAATCTAAGTACAGTATCCGCGATTCCAGCACACGTAGTTTACCCTTTACCGATCGTTTTCTTACTCGTTATATTCATTTCTTGGGAAAGGGGATTTTCTGGCTGCGAGTTTTTTTTATGCACGTTCAGATGAAGTAGAAGTCTTGCCCGAGTTTTACGTGCGAGTTTCTTAATTGTTCATGTGTGAGTTTCTTGAGTGAGTTTTATGTTGTGAAACGAGTTGCGTATACGCGAATTGGCTCAGCGGTTACCGCATTTCGCAATTATAGCTCCTGTTAATAGTTGATGAATAGTTAATATACATGGGTGGGCATGTTATACGTGCTTGGCATCAAATTATAAAAAAATGCCTATTGCTTTTTACCATGAAAGCATCATAAGATATTTATATATTTTGGATGGTGGCTGTATCGACCACACGTGCACACGCGCCCACGCACGTACGCACATGCACACATACACGCACACACACACGCACACGCACACGCACACACACACACACGCGCGCGCGCGCACGCACACACACACACACACACGCACACGCACACGCACACGNGTTATTAAATGTTGTAAATAAATCATGTAAATATTTGCGTTAATTGGAAAAAATGTTAAACAGATAAAGATAGAAAAATACAGAAAACATAAAAATAATTAGAAAACGAGCGATGGGGTTCGATCGTACGACCTTTCATACTTGACGCCAGCGTTATACGCACTAGCCTATCGAGTCATATCGGTAAGAACAGTTTTGCATGTGCTATGTATATCGCGAGAAAACAAGCTCAACCAATAGCAGCGCTTATTACAGCCCTATGTTCTTGATTGACCTAGGAAAAAAAATCACGCCAGCCGCGTGCGTACCAGCCGCGTGCTAGTGTTCAACACAGTTCTGGCGTGTTATTCCTAT